GTCACATGTCACGTGACTCTCTATTTGCCGTCACTCATACGCGCGCGCGGGAAAAGCAGACGGGGATGGGGGGGAGGAGGGGGGGAAGGGGATATAGGGAGATGGGAGGATAAAGGGGAGTAAGAGGGAAGGGTCAGAGAGAAAGAGAGAGAAAAAAGATGGAGGAGACTGAAACAGAGATAGGGCGAAAGATAGAGACAAAAAATAGATAATAGATAGATAGGATGGATAGATCAGAAGAGAGAACAGAGAAAGAGAGAGAGAGAGAGAGAGAGAGAGAGGAGAGAGAGAGAGAGAGAGAGGGAGAGAATGAGAGAGAGAGAAAAGAAAGAAAGGAAGAAAGAAAGAAAGAAGATAGACAGCTAGATAGATAGATAGATAGATAGATAGATAGAGAGAGAGAGAGAGAGAGAGAGAGAGGAGAGAGAGAGAGAGAGAGAGAGAGAGAGGAAGGGGAATGAATAGCACAGTCCCACAGCAAACCGCAGGAATAAGCGAGATACAGATCAGAATTTGGAGAGCAAAGCGTAGCGGGGAGGGAGGAAAGGGGGGGGGTGAGGTGGGGGGGGCTGTCCAACGGGAGTTTAGGGAGAGGGGATTTAGGGCACATACACACGCAAAGTGACATACATACATATATATATTATATATATATATATATATATATATTATATATATATATATATATATATATATTATATATATATATTTAATAATATATTATATATATATATATATATATATATATATATATATATATATATATATATATATATATATTATATATATATATATATATATATATATATATATATAGTATATATATATATATATATATATATATATATATATATATATAATAATATATATATATATAATGTGTGTGTGTGTGTGGTGTGTGTGTGTGTGTGTGTGTGTTGTGTTGTGTGTGTGTGTGTGTGTGTGTGGTGTGTGTGTGTGTGTGTGTGTGTGTGTGTGTGTTGTGTGTGTGTGTGTGTGTGTGTGTGTACATATATGAGACCCTCGGGGAGAGAAACAGAAGCAGAGGAGAGCGATGTTTACAACCCGCGAGCAGCGTCCTCCTCCTTCCTCGATTCCCTGAGTGATGTCCCCAAGGAGTGGCCGCTTGAGGGGAAGGAGGGGGGGGAGGGAAGGGGGGAGGGGCGGGGAGGGAGGGGAAATCGACGCGGAATAGTGGAGGGAAGGAAGAGAAGGAGAGGGGAGGGGAGGGAAAGGAGGGGGAGAGGAGGGAGGGAGGGAGATTGGGGAATAGTGGAGAAAGGAAGAGAAGGAAGGGAGGAGGGGAAGGAAGGAGGGGAGGGAAGGGAGGGGGAGGGAGGGAGGGAGGGGAGGGGAGGGAGGGGATTGGACGCGGAAGTGAGGAATGGAAAAGGAAGGAGAGGGAGGGGGAGGAGGGGGAGGGGAGGGAGGGAGAAGGAAGGGGGAGAGGGAAAAGAAGGAGGGAGGAGGAAAGGGAGGGAGGGAAGGGAGGGAAGAGGGAAGAGGAAGAGGAGAGGAGAGGAAGGAAGGGGAAGGAGGAAAGGAGGAGAGGGGAGGGAAGTAGCGAAGGAGGAGGAGGGAGAGGGAGGAAGGAGGGAGAAGCAAAGGGGAGGGAAGGAGGGAGAGGGGAGGGAAGGAGGGAGAGGAGAGGGAGGGAAGGGAGAGGCAGACCGAACACGGGTTTTGTACTTTAACCCATTTCTTTAGCAGGATCTTTGTCTTGAAAACGTCATACATCACGACTCTTTTGAGACAACGGCAGCCGCTCTCATCAGTAATATCTGTGTTGTTTATTTTTCTTTGTTTGTTTGTCATTGCGATTTTTTATTTTTTTGTATATTTTGTTTGTCGTTTTTTTTGTTTATTTTGTTTTGTCATTTTTCATATTTGTTTGTATTGATTTCATTTTTTTCATATTTTGTTTGTCTTTGTTTTGTTTGTCATTACGATACTTTCAATATTTTGTTTGTCGTTTTTTTCTTTGTTTTGTTTGTCATTACGACGATTTCATTTTTTTGTATATTTTCTTGTTCCTTCTTCTTTGCGCACTTTGCTGATCTAATAGGCGTCAACACACATTCAGACACACCGAAACATACATATATACGCGCATCCTACGTACGAGTATTCGTACATGCATGCATATACACAAACATACATACATACATAATTACATACATAAATACATACATACTCACACACATACTCGCACACACACACACACACACACACACACAAATAAACACACACACACACACACATACAAATAAACACACACACACACACACATACAAATAAACACACACAAATAAGCACACACACACAAATAAACAACACACACACGCATAAACTCGCACACACTTTGCTCACAAACAAACACAGACACGGACACAGACACGCCCAAACACGCCCATCCCCCGAGGGACGTACACGGGTTAATCGCTCGGTCTTAGGGCTTTGTACGCCCGTCACCGCCGACGACACAGCAATAAGTCAAAGGGCGGGATTACCACCACGAGCCCCCCCCCCCCCCCCTTCTCTCTTTCTCTCTTTTTTTTTTCTTTTATCTGTTTTTGTCACTTTTCTTCTCTTCTTCTCTTGTCTATATCTCTTTTTCTCTCTCTCATTTTCATCTCTCTCTCTCTTTCTCTATCTACTATTAATTTTCTATCTATCTATCTGTCTTTCTTTTCTCCTCCTCCCTTCCCCCTCTCTCTGTGTCTGCCATTTTCTCTCTCTCTCTCTCTCTCTCTATCTATCTTTTCCTTGCTCAATTTCCATTGCTCTTGTCTCTGTCATGTTCAAGTTTTCTCTTCTCCTCTTTTTCTCATGAAAGACAACATTATCATCACCATCATCTCCACGCATCATAGATCATCACTATTATCCTTAATGATGCTTCTTCCTCCTCTTCTTCAACCATATAACCCCCCCCCCCCCGCTTCACCCACACCCACTCTCTCCTTAACCAACAGTGTTTTTTTTTGTCCTTCATAAAACTTTTTTTTTTGTCTTCTTTTCCCCCTTTTTTCTTGATATTTTCATTTACTATTCTCTTCCTTTTTAGCCTTGTCTGTTGTGGAAGATGAATCAAGCTGAGATGAATTTGTGTTCCCTCCCTGCTAATTCTCCCCGTCTCTGCTTCTTTGTCTGTCTGTCTGCCTGTCTGTTTCCTTCCGTTCCCCCATCCTCGCTCTCTCTCTCTCTCTCTCTGTATTTCTTTCACTCCTTCCTTTTCTCACTCTCTCTCTGTCTGTCAATCTCTCTCTCTCTCTCTTCTCTCTACCCCTCTCTCTTTTCTTCTTTCCCTTTAATTTCCTATTTCTCTCTCTCTCTGTCTCACTTTCACACCATTATCATTATTATGATTTTTGTTATGATTATTATCATTATATATATATATATAATATATATATATATATATATATATATATATATATATATATATATATATATATACATAATACACACACACACATATATATAAACATATATATATGTATATAAAAGTGCTCCTTCCGCTCTCCCTTCCCATCCCCCTCATGTGCATACATAATACACAAATCCAAACACAAATAAACGCACACAGCAGCCTAATCCCACGCACACAAACACGAGTAAACATATGTCCACATTTATTCTCGTTCTTGAATAAAATCTCTCTGCAGATCCGGAGAAAGTCTACGGCAACGCGACATAAGTTTTCATTATCTCTCGGGACTGGAAAAAAAGTAGTGTTAATTTCGTCAAAAAAAAAAAAAAAAAAACTCATTCGACCCAAGCACTCAAGGAGATGAGATTGTTGATGGAGTTGTTGTCTTTTTTCTTTCTTGTTTTTCTTCTTCTTTTTTTTTTTAACCGACTTAATTAAACCTGAGATACTTATTATTTTCCTCCCGGTGTTCGCAAATGGGTCCCAGCGGGTCGATCTCGTCAGGTGTTTTCTGGATGACGTCAGAGGCATCCGGGGCTTCTGAAGATCTCGAATGAGCAGCGGGGGGGGGGGGTGAGCGAGTGAGTAAATGAGTGACAGAGTGAGTCAGTAAGTGAGTGAGTGAGTGAGTCAGTAGTGAGTGAGTGGTGAGTAAGTGAGTGAGAGTGAGTGAGTAAGTGAGTGAGTGAGTGAGTGAGTAGTAAGTAAGTGAGTGAGTTTGAGTGAGTTGAGTGAATGGGTGAGTGAGTGAGTGAGTGAGTGAGTGTTGAACTTGTCGACATGAAAGGGCCTGAAATGGACTCGGCTTATATATTTAACTCTTATGTGAACTTATGCTCACAAAAAAATATCAAGGCATACGGCATGGTGATATTTCATAACCCTTTCTTCAATTTGAAATGAAATGAATGTAAAAATTATTGATCAAAATGATGGAATACACATCTACTATCGCCCCTACAACAACAACAACAAAAACAACAACAACAACAACAAAACATAACTAAAGCAACAACAGCAACATCAACTACCAATTCCAGTATTAGTATCGCCACTACTGCTAAAAAGGATAATAATGATAATTGGTGATAAGGATAATGAAGATAATAGTGAATTTCATATATAGTAGAAATGCTAATAGTTTAAAATCAGATGATACTAGGGATAATGATGATGATGATAATGATAACAGCCAGCAATAACAGTATTTGATGAGATAATGATGATGCGTGTAGTGGTCATTTGTGACAATTACAAGTTATAGAGAGGAGTGAGAGAGAGAGAGAGAGACTTAGAGACTTGAGAGAGACGAGAGGATGAGAGAGAGAGAGAGAGAAGAGAGACTAAAGAAGAGACAGGCCCCAGTCGAGTGACGAGAGAGAGAGAGAGGAGCGAGAGAGAGAGAGAGAAGAGAAGAGAGAGAGAGAGAGAAGAAAGAAAAGAGAGAGGAGATAGATAGAAAAGAACCAGCCAGTCATCCAACCAACCAGACAAACAAACAAACAAACAGATAGATACAGAGAGAGAGAGAGAAAACCCACCCCTAACAGCACCATTTTCCCCCCAG